TTTCCAGGAACCCTAAGTCGTCTGAGCGCAGGGTGACGTGGGAGCCAGTGGAGTCCTCCGACCTGGCTATCAAGGCCTCATATTTGTTTTAGGGTTTAGGGTTTAGGGTTTAGGGTTTAGGGTTTAGGGTTTAGGGTTCAGGGTTTAAGGTTTAGGGTTTAGGATTTACAGTTTAGGATTTAGGGTTTAGGGCCTTATCTGGGAGTTTCCGAAAGTAAGGGGTGCCTTATTTGGGGGTCCTTATAGTAAGGATCCTACTATCTAAGGTGCTATATTTTAGGGTCCCCTATATTTCTGAAACCCCCATTTGGAGCTTCCAAAGGTTCCTTCAGGGTGTAGGGTTTGATTTTCAAAGGATTCGTGAAGAGTTTAAGGGCTTACTGCGCAGGGTTTAGGGTTTAGGGGTGTAAGGGTTTGGGGTGGCATGTTCCTGGGGGGAAGCCGGGACTAGGGGAAGTACAACAGAATAAGTTATTGCAAGTTTTCGAAAGCCCCGTAGACAGCAGGCTTTCCGCGCTTACGAAACAGGGCCCCATGACAGCGACCATCTTGTCTTCGCGTGTTCTTCCAGCTTGGAAGCACGAGCGCCCAGATGTTACAAAGCAGGCTCATTTCCAGCGGGTGCGGATTCACAGCTATTTGCAGCACTTCGTACACCTTGATAGCAACCCTCATTCTCGACAGTAGCTTTTTCTTTGTCGGTTGTTTGAGGTCTGGTTTCAGGTTTACAAATTTGAAAACCTTAAACCCTAAACCCTAGACCCTAAATCCTAAACCCTACACCCTGCACCCTAGACCCGAAACGCTAAGCCCTTCAACCCTAAACTCTAGACCCTAAACCCTTAGCCCTCAAGCCCTAAACCCCTAGTTTGCGGTTGTCCTTGCTTGGAGGTTCATGGGTAGTTATAAGTGGGGTTAAAAGTCCCCTAATATAGGTTATGACTATAGTTACCTTACTTATAACCCCCCCTAAACCCTAAACCCTAAACCCTAAACCCTAAACCCTAAACCCGGGGTCTCAGACTGCTCATGAGGTTTCGGACCCAGGTCTTTGGGCTCTGCTCAGGCGGTCGGAGGTTCAAGGTTCAGGGCTCTTTAGGGTTTATTGGGGTTTAGGGGGCGTAGGGTTTAGGGTTCAGGGCTTAGGGCCAAATTAGGGTGCAGGATTTGGGATTTTGCAGGGTGCGGATTTCGTCATCATCAATCGTCATCACTTTATCCCCGCCTAAGCCCTAAACCCTAAACCGTGAATCCCTAACCCACCCTTCCCGCCAGTCCAAGAACGACTCTGCAACATGCGAACGTCCTGAAACTCTGAAACTCGAACACTGAAGAAGTCTGAGACAATCCAACTCCTCCTAAGTTCCACATCTAGGTGCCTGAGTGGTACCCTTTTGCCTTTTGTTATGGTATCATTCCATTGTTAAAACTGAATAACAGGAACGCCGGTACCCCTATTCTTAGACCCTGTCCATCTTAGGAACTAATTGAAAATATCTTAAACTGTATATACAAAAATACATGCTACCATACTGTATTCTTAAGGGTTCAGTCAGGAACCTAGACATTCACCTCCGACATCCTACCACCGAAATCCTGAACCCAGGTTTCTTACCGGGGAGCAGGACAAACCTTTAGGGTTTAGGGGTTAGAGTTTAGGGTTTAGGGGTTCGGGTCCATAACCACTGTGCTACTATTGTACCATTTGTCGTACTACTGTCCAGTTGCAACCAATCAATCGCGTTTCCAAAGTACTGGCCCACGCTCACTGTTTGCCATGCAACGCTTGAAATAGGATCCATTAATATAGGGGCCTAAATGATTAGCATAATATTTCGGAGGCTCCTTATCATGAGTATAGTATAATATACCACAAAGCCCTATTCTAATTATTAAGGCCCCTGTTGTAGCATTCGGGTCTCGGGCTTTACTGGATTCCTTCAGTGTTCCATCAAGTTCTTAAGTTTCGCTGCATGCTTCTCGTACCGATCTGTTTGTTTGAGATTTTAGGGTTTACCTGAACTTCTAATGCCCTACCTTTTTCAGGACTTACATTAACCCTATTTAGGCTAGAAGTCTTAGGCTTTTAGTGTACGCAGGCTTGAAAGGGTGCCTGAAATGGTTAGTTAGAGGGCTCCTCAAAGGGATCCCTAAAGCAGTATCAATCTTGCTACTATAGTGGCGTCATCATCAGGACAGGGAAGCATTTTGCCTGTAACAAGTGTATACCTGTCTACGGAGGATATTATTACCAAGTAGACGTAAAAGGAATCCGAATCCCTGCATTAATTGTCCTAAATCCGGTTTCCAACTTTTGGGGGGTTGCTCCAAGCCTCCGCTAAGTCGAGCCAAAAACGCCCAAGCCCCAAGCTCTCAAAACCCCCAAGTTGGGATCCGATAGCAGACTATATCCAAACACGGTTTAGGGTTTACGGAAGGTTTCCCTACCTCTCCACTGCCCCCTTGACTAGCACAGGGGTCTGAATAGTTAGAAAGGGCATCCCGTATTCGTTCTTGTGTAACATCTAGTTATTATTCGGCCCGAACCATCCACCCTACATGGGCAGTTCTCTAAATTGGTTCCCTTTCAGGGACCTACAAAAGGGCTAATTTTGTGAACTACCCACATAGGACCCTTACAGAAAGACGTTAGAGACCCTTATAGATCCCTTTAAGGGGCCCCTACAAAAAGGACCCTGATTTAGAGAACTGCCCACATGCCAAACCCCACTTCACCCGAGAGCGCCCCGAGCTTTGGAGCCGGGTCATGAGAAGAGGGTTTAGGGTTCTGGGTTTTAGGGGTTAAGGTTTAGGGTTTAGGGTTTAGGGGTTTAGGGTTCGGGGTGTTAGGGTTTAGGGTTTAGGGTTGGGTCTAGGGTTTAGGGTTCAGGGTTGGGGACTTTGTGTGTGTGTGTGTGCGTTTTACGGAAATAGGGTTTTGGTCCTTAGGGCCTAGAGTTTTTGAGTGTTTAGGGCTTTAGGCATTTAGGGTTTAGGGGTGCAAAAGCAACACCGATTGTGCGAGCTGCGTCACCACGGGGTACCTTGTTTGAGGGGTCCTGGAGACAAGGATTTGCTCACCGTCTGTATTCGGCTGCCGTACGGTCTGCAAGAAAGTCAGTTTAACACTAAACTCTAAAACCAGTGAATGCCCTCTATGAAGGACCATAAGGGCTCTATTAAAGGGCACTTCGGGGTTCTGGTGAACCCCAAACTTCCGGGTAGAAGGAACCCCCTAAACCCTAAACCCTAGACCCTACACCTAAACCCTAAACCCTAAACCCTAGACCCTAGACCCTAAACCCTAAACCCGAAACCCTAGACCCTAGACCCGAGACC